ATTTTTCATCAATGCTTCCAGCACAGTTTGAACGTCTTAATTCAGTGAGAAAAGCAAAATATCATTACAAAGACAGAGGAGAAAGAAAATACCAAAATGGATGTCAAAGAATCTATGAGAATTGTACTAGAGTGTTGAGAGCAGAAACAAAAGGATGCCAAAGTGAAAAAACTTAACAGATATTTCAAAGGAGAACTAAAATAGATAAAGCAAAGTGTTATAATGGGATGAGCAAAGGGCTAAAATTGGAGAATCATAAATGGATTTATGATTCACTCAGCATTTCTCAAACTGAGAACTCAGAAAAACAATTTTAGGCCTCAAGTAACAATGGGGAGAAATGCTATGGAAAAAATTTTGAATGATCCAAGAAGCATCAATAAGAGATGGAGGAAATACACAAATTCACTTTACCAAAAAGATTTGGTTGACACTGAAGAATTTCAGGAAGTATCATATGAACAAGAGACAATGGTTCTATTTATAGTCCATGGTATACTCCAAATTATTTACCAACATTTCAATTTAAAGGTATCAAGTCTTTGATCTTCTTTATTCATTGTCCAATTTTCATGTTGTTGTCGTGTACATTCTAGTTGGAACCTACTCATAGCTGAGCCTCTGGTCGGTTTTCAGAGGTAATTAATCACATGAGAAGAGATTACCTGTCCTTCTCCTGTGGAGCAGCTGATGGATTTGAACTGTATGCCTTCGGGATTGCAGTGCAGCTTCTTAACATCAAGTTGTCTGTAACTCATAGCAACAAGACCTCTGAAGTCTACCCTGTTCCTGGGCCAGTCTCACTGACGCCAACACACCTACCCCCATTGCCCCAGTTACTGTATCAGTCCATCACATTCAGAGTCTTCCCCTCCCATGCTCTTCCTCCACCTTTCCGAAAATGATGTCGTTCTCCAAGGATCATTCACTCCTGGCCATCTGTCAAAAATATGTGAGACAGAGCCTCATAATGTTAGCCTTCAAGTAATTTGATTTCACCCTTTCAAGACAGACCTGTTTGTTTTCTTGGTGGTCCATGGTATATTCAAAACTCTTAATACTCAAATGCATCGCTTTTTCTTTTGTCATCCTTAGTCATTGCCTGGTTCTCTGATGCATAGCAAATGGCCTAGATCAGGCACACCTTAGTCTCCAGACTGACATCATTGCTTCTCAGTACTCTAGAGAGGTCCTTGACAACAGATTTTGTCAGTGCAAGTTGTCTTTTGATTTCCTGACTTCTGGTGCCAAAAGTGTTGATTGTGGAGCTGAGCAAACTATAATTGTTAACAACCTCAATCTCTCCTACATCTATGATGATGCTGCCAGTTGACCCAGTCGTGAGAATCTTTTGACTTCTTGATGTTGAGCTTCAATCCCTATTGAAGACTACAATCCTTGACCTTCTGCAGCAAGCGCTTCAGGTCCTCCTCAGTTTCAGCAAGCAAGGTTGTGTCATCTGCATAGCATAGGTTGTTGATGAGTCTTCTTCCAATCCTGATGCCATATTCTTCCCTATAAAGCCTATAAAGCAAATGTTCTGCATATAGATTTAAAAGGTATGGAGATGGGCTGCTTTACTGACTCACTCCTTTCCTGATTTTGTACCATGCTGTGTTTCTCTGCTCTGTTCTGAGGGCTGCTTCCTGACCAAGTACAGATTTCGCATGAGCACAGTCAAATGTTCTGGGATGCCCATTCTCAAGGTTAGCCACAGTTTGTTATGGTCACATAGTCAAATGCCACTAAAACTAAAGCTCACTAGTGTCAAATAGATTCAGATTCACAGCAACACTCATGAGATTTTTGAGGCTGTAAATCATATGAGGAAGATTGTTCTTTTTCTCCCTCGAAAGTGCTGAGGGATTTGAATTATTGGAGAAGTGTGGCCTTTCAGTCAGCAGCACATCCTTCTACAAACTACAATACTATGGAGTGGGCCAGGCACTTCTTAACTCTCAAACAAACATCCTTCATGCTTAGTACTTTGTTATTTTTTTTTTAAATAAAAGTTTTATTGTAATTGTTTTAATAAAGTGTATGGAAAAGTTGGATTTTTATTCATCAATTGTTATACATTTCTTCCCTCTCCCTCCCTTCCCCTTTCCCCAGATCTCTCTCACTCTTTCTGTTCCCCCCTCCCTCTCCCCTCCCTCCTTTCCTTCCTTCCTTCCTAAAAATTCATTCATTATTGTACAGTGTTCTGGACTGTTGTCATGTCTTTGACAGCAGATTTGTGCATGCAAAACACCATTTGATTTCTTGACTGCTATTTCACAACTGTGGATTTTTTTATCAAAGTAAAATGATATAACTGGTAACTTCAATCTTTTCTACACTTATCATTGTGTTGTTTATTGGTCCAGTAGTAACACATTCACCACCACCCCCTTTCTGTTCAAGCATAATCCATGCTGCAAGCTAGTCTCCGGTCCATCAATAATTCTTTCAAGTATTTTTGTTCTTGCAAACAAGTTTGAGTCATTTGCATATGACAAGTTCTTGATGGATCTTCCTCCAATCTTAGTGCTATATTCTTCTTCATATACTTCAGTTTCTTGGATTTTTCTATGTATTTAATAAAACGTTGGAAGACAATACAGATACGAAAAGAACAAGTTACAATCCATGCAATAAAATGCCTCTGCAGAGCCAATTAAGTATAGGTAAACATCTAAATGATATTCTCTACTTTGAGCCAAGATCCATTTTATGTTAACATCAACATCTCATGTACTCTGCCCTTTTCTGAATCTGCCTTGAGTTTCTCAAAGTCCCCTGTAGATGTGCTACTGCAATAAATTTTAACTGTCTTCAGCAAGATTTGTATGTGATATTGACAATATTATTCTATCATTTCCTCATTGTATGTGACGTTAACAATTTTAATTATAGTTTAAAATATTAACAATTATAATTTTCTCATTTGTATGTGATATTAACAATATTATTCTATAATTTCCTCGTTATGCTGGATTATCTTTCTTTGCAAGGGCACAAATATGCATCTTTCCCAGTTGGATGGCCAGGTAGCTGTCTTCCAAATGTCTTGGTTTAGGGGAGTGAGTACATCCAAGACTTCATCGGTTTATTGAAGCATCTCAGTTAGTATTCTCTCAATGCCTGTATCCTATTAGACAATGTCTTTCTTCAGTCTAGATTATTTTCTTCTACTTCCTGAAATTTGTGCTTCTGTATTGGCAAATTATTATTATTTTAAAAGTTTTTACTGGGAAATTATTTTTAAAATTTTTTCAGTGACTCTGTGTATTCCTTCTATCTTGTTTTGATGTTTCTTGTGTCATTCACTATTTTGCTAATAGAATCTTCTAATACTGCAACTCAAGCCTTGAATTTCCTGTTGACTCTTTAAGCTTGACATAGAGCATGGAATATATTTTTCCTCATTAGACTTTTGAATTACTGGTATTTGTACATTTAGTTATAAAATACTACTTTGTCTTTTCAAGCTGCTCTTTGAAATATTCTATTAAGCTCTCTTTTTAAATTCTTCCTATTGCTGTAGTTTCTTTATATTTAAGGGCAAATTTCAGAGTCTTTCAAGATGACATTCATCTTGATCTCTTTTTTTCTTTTCAGTCTTTGTAATGATATTTCACCTTCTTTATGTAATGTTCTTGGTGTCACTTCACATTTTATCTGATCTTTGGATATTAGTGTTCAAGATCTATTCTTGAGATTCTTTCTAAATTCAGATAAGATATATTCATGATTGTATTTTAGCTCTTGTGGACTTGTTTTATTTTCTTCAGCTTCAGTTGAACTTGTATGCATAAATTAATGCCCACAAGCACACACACAGTGTTCTTTGCCTCACATACTTTGAGTATATTATTGTTATAATATGTGGCTGACATTGAGAAGAATGGGAGTAGTAGAGCACTAAATTTAAGTGCTCAAGCAAAATCTACACCTGGATCAGGAGGCTGTTGTTCAAATAAAGCAAGGGAACATTGCATGATTTAAAATTAAGAAGGGGGAAAATTAAGAAAGGAGTGTATCAGGGTTGTATTCTATACCTATTCAATTAGTATGCTGAGCAAATTATTTGAGAAGCCAGACTCTCTGAAGAGGAATGTGGCATCAAGATTGGAGGGAGACTCATCAACAAACTGCATTATGCAAATGATACCACCTTGCTTGCTGAAAGTGAGGAAGAGTTGAAGCACTTATTGCAGAAGTTCAAAGGAACATGAAATGTCACCCTGAATTGGTCTTGGTGGCAACAATTGTTTTTTCTTTGCGATTTGTTTTTCCACACAGAGATGGTTGTCATCATTGATGAGACAAATTGGGGAAGGAAATATCTATAGTCACTTTCTTGACACTGTTGAACATATTCCTGACTTTGTTGAAGTTTTCTAGTCCCATGCTGACTGGGAAATATGAAGTGAGCTAAGGGCTTAGTTAGACTGTACAAAATTTATCTCTAAAAAAACCCCTTTTTAACTTTTCTCTATCATTACTTTCCTCATTAAAAGTTATCTCACATGTTATTTCATGATATTTAAAGACACTCATTGGGATGTAAAAAAAGGACATATCACTTATGGTTAGAAAATCGTAAGAATTTTAATAGTACAATATACTCAGTTATGAACACTGAAAAACACAGAAGAGTAATTTTACTTTTTTAAAAAAGTTTTATTGCTTCATTTTTCATTTGTTTTACATTGTCATGCTTGCACAGCGTACATGTATGTGTAACCTGCTTTTTCACATGGTAATATTAATAATCTTCATAAACATCATTTGTCACCACTGCATAGTATTCCAACAAAATGCTTCACCCTTTAATTAACACCTTCTCTAAAGAGATACTTTTTTCATAGTCTTAACATTCTGGAATATTAAACAATGTGCAATATATGTATTTGTGTAAAGTCTTATTCTCTATTCATATCTATTTTCATAGAAGGTATTCTTGAATGCAGATCTGTTTGTTCAAAGGCTGCAAATAATTCTGAAGATCCTGATACATATTGCTTAACATTCCTGTCCTTATTCAAATGATTCCAGGCTACAGAAAAATGAAGGGGAAAAAAAGTTAATAAAAGTGTAAATTTTTCTTGATTGCTGATTCTTAGTTCAAATAGAAAAGTAAATATATAGTATATATTCAAGACATTAATGAATAAAAATATCTATGTGAAACTACTAGGGCAAATATTATACTTTAACTGACGTTAAACAGGATACACAACATCCTGTTTATAATTTGGCTGTCCTCTGAACTTTGGAAGTAGGTTTAGTAGTTTCCATCAACCCTAAATTAACATTAGTATGTTAGCAGATTAAGTAGCAGTAGTTTCTTATGTGTCTTTTTAAAAATCACTCATTAAGGCTTTCAACAGAAGGAAGAACCAGTACTGGAATTCAGTAGCATTCACGGCAAAAACTATTCCAATAAGATAAGATTCTAAGTATTTGATCTTGATGCTAAGATTTGCTCATCCCCTGTCTACGGGGCAATTTTTGATGAATGGTAAATCTCCAGTGAGATTTATGTTATTTTAACAAAGACCACGGAAATACTGCTTGTTCCAAACATGTGTGCTGCTTCACAATCCAAGCGCGGCTTTTACAACTGTTCGTTTGATTCCGTTCATATCATCAAGTTAACAAACATATTGGGATTTCAGGAAAACCAAAACTGGTGTTATCTGACCTTGAGAAAAGACGAAGGCAGGAGGAGTGGAAAGAGTGATGCATTTCCACAGACTTTAAAAGACGAGACTCAGAAGGATCACTGACTCCTGGGAGGGGAGGGTAGAAAGGAAGAGTTACAAATGGCAGTGGTGCCCAGTACCTGGATGATGACCGAGTAGGTTCCACACAGCATCCTGGACAGCTGAATGACTACTCTGAGGAGGCAGACGACCACTTGAAGCCCACTGAGGGTTATGAGAATAGAAAATAAAATGATGTTCCACTCCACTACATGTGAGGGTTCCAGGCACTGAATCCATGTGCTAGAATCAGCAAGGAAACTGTCAGAAAGAAGGGGCATGGTGAATAAGATCCACGGCCAAGATTGTATTTTTATATGTTCATGAAACAAACATAGAAATTATTCACATATATCCCATTATATATGAATGAATGCATTTTAGTAATTACTAAAAGCAATATGTTGAATTTGTTGTATATCTATTACCAAGCAGGCATTTACGCTATTAACATGGTATCCAATACCTCATTCTGTAGTGTAAGTCAGCACATGCCAAGCCCCACTTCCAGGTGCTCAAAAGTCAGCAGTGAGAGCTTGCGTTGGATAGGAAATCAAGCATGTGGAAAAATAACATGGAGAAACTGTGATCTCAATTCTTAGATCTGGTTCCAAATCTCTGTAGAGCAGTGGGTTTCAAAGTTGAGCTTGTATCAGAAATACCTGGAAAACTGGTTGTAACACAGGTCACTGGACATCAGGAGTTTCTGCTACAGAAGATCTGGCTGAGACTCAAGAATTCACATTTCTAGTAAGTTTCTGAAAGATGCTGATGCTGTGGACTGGGGCTCACGTTATGGGAACCTCCTCTTTAGAACAGTGCTGTTCTTTTAAGTGGTAAAGATTTAGATAGTAACGTGAGAATCAAGTAGTCTGAAAGGCTAGTCCGGCACAGGGTTATGAATGGTGGTGAGATGAACTAACGTGCTTTTGCTCACATCCAAGCCTTCCAGAGTCATTTACATATTTCCCAGAGGTGAGGTTTTCTGTTTAGCTGAATGGAAATAGAAAACTGATCACCTCAGATTCCCCAAGCAAAAGCAACCAAACCTATTTACAGGGCAAAGTTGTATCTGAATATCTAGAATCAATAGCAAAATAGGGTTGTTGGGGTTTTTTCCTCTCCTTTTCTTCTCCCCTTAAAAATGCAACAGGTAACCAGAGCACTATTAAGCAGTCCTAGTGAGAAAAAAGGAGTGGATTCTGCATTTTTGTAACATTGCTACTATTATTATCTTTTCTCATCTTCCATTTCTCTGCTATTTCTTTCCTTAAGCTCCCCCTCCCCCAATTTTTCTCTTTTTCTTTCTTATGCTCCAAAGAAATCCTGGTGGTGAAATGATTAGGGGCTTGGCTACTAATTGAAAACTTGATAGTTCAAAGGCACCAATGGGTCCATAGGAGAAAAGATGTGGTGATCTGCCCCCCGAAATATTTCTATCTAGGACCATAGGAGCCATTCTACTCTGTCCTTTGAAGCTGCTATAAGACATTTTTAAAGGCACACGGTAGCAACAAAAGCAAAATATATTCCAGGACACACAGAGGTTTTTTGAGAACTTCTCTTATGTATTTATTTATCTTTATTATTTATTTATTTTTAATAAATAAAGTTTTTATTTTATGCTGGTTTACTTACAAAATTCATACACATTGTTTTTCACATTGGATCTTTCCCATTTCCTTTACCCATCTCTCCCTCCACTCATCAAATTATGCGACCCTATGATTAATCCCTCACCTATCCTCATCCATCTGCTCACACTCTCCCCACCTTGGATCCTCATACACGTTCTACAATAATAGTCTTATACAGTATTTGTCCTTACAGGATTGAGTTAGTTCATTTAGCATAATGCTCTCCAGTCCCTCTCAAGTTAGGTAGTGAAACTCCATATGACTCAACTATTCCATTGCTTGGAATATACCCTTAGAAATGAAGAACTGAGTCAAAAACAGAGATTTGTATGCCAATGTTCATAGCAATGTTATTCACCATCACAAGAACATGGAAACAACACAAATGTCCAACCACGAACAGACAGATTGAGAAATTATGGTACATTCACACAATGGAATACTATGCAGCACATAGGAGCAATGGTTTTGTAAATTCTTACCTAATTTGGGAGAACTTCTTAATCAAATATGGAGCCAAAGCTTCTGAATCTGTGGGATCTTGGACAAGAGACTGGACTAAAAAGTCTTACTTGGACAATGAGATTTAAAAATGCCTAAACCAGGATTATTATTGTGAATATTTGTCTAGTTGTTGTTGGTTACCATTGAGTATGACCTGCGGCAACCCTGTGAACAACCCATTGAAATCCTTTTCTATCCTGTGCTGTCCTCACAATCTCTGACATACTCAAGCCCATTACTGCAGGGGAATCTGTCAGTCCATCTGGTTGAGGGGTTTCTTATCTTTTGCTGACCTTCCACCTTTCCAAGCAGAATGTCCTTCTCCAAAGAATAGCATCTCTTAGCAATAGAAACAAAGTAGGTGAGATGAAGCTTTATCACATTTGCCTCTAAGAAGCACTCTGGCTAGCCTTCTAAAACACATATCTGTTTGTTCTTTTGCTAGTTCATAGTATATTCAGTCTTCTTCTCCAACACAGAGCTCAATGGCATTAATTCTTCTCTGTCATCCTTATTCACTGTGCAGCTCTCAGATGCCTAGCACATTATTGAAAAAACCATGGCCTGAATCAGGTACGCTGTAGTCCTCAGACTGACTTTATTTCAATAATCTGGAGAGGTCACTGACTGACTATACACTTTCCCAGTGCAATATGTCTCCTGATCTCCTGACTGCTGCGCTGGTACCAAGGATGTTAATTCTGAGCGCAAATAGAATGACGTTGTTGACAGTTTCAATCTTTTCTCCATCTATCATGATGTTGTCTATTGGTCCAGTGCTGAGAATTTTTATTTTATCGACTTTGAGACAAAATCTATATTGAAGGCTGTATTCTTTGATCTTCTGCACCTAACTCTTATTTTTCCACCCTTATTTTCAGCAAGCAAAGTTGTGTGATTTGCATAACATAGGTTATTAATGAGCCTTCTTTTGATCCCGATGCCACAATCTTTATCACAGAGTCCAGCTTCTTGAATAATTTGTTCAGTATACAGACTGAATAGGTATGGAGAAAGGATACATTCTGGACACATACCTTTCAAGATTTTAAACCATGTACTGTTCCCTTGTTCTGTTCATGCAACAGCCTCTTTTTCTAGGTATAGGTTTCACACGAGTACAAGTTATTGTTCTGGAATTTCTATTCTTCTAGTGCTAGCTGTAATTTGTTAAGATCCACACAGTCAAAGCTTTTGCAAATTCAATAAAGTACAAATAAACATTCTTCTGGTATTTGCTTTCAGCCAGGATATATTTGATATAATCAATGATATCCTTGGTGCCATGGCCTCTTCTAAATCCAACTTGAACTTCTGGCTGTTCTTTGTGTTCTGTTCTAGAGACTTTTAGATGATCTTCAGTAGTATTTAGCTTGTATGTGATATTAATGACATTTCTTGATAATTCCCACATTTATTTTTGAATCATCTTTTTTGGGAATGGGAACAAATATGGGTCTATTCCAGTCAGTCAGTTAGCCAGGCAGCTGTCCTCCAAATTTCCTGGGGTAGACTGGTGAGCCTGTCCAGGGCTGTATCTGTTAGTTGAAATATGTCAATTGGTATCTCATCAATTCCTGAGACCAAATCTTGATTGACCAAATGTGCAATTGAGATTTGGGGAGAGCTAGGTAAAAATGTTATGTAATCTAAAAAAAAAAAGTATAATATGGATATGATTTTCTGTTGTGGTTTCCTTGGACTTACCCTCCTTCCAGCCTCTGGAGAGGTTGTTGTCCTGCTAGTTTGCTTATCTACAATGTTTCCAGTATGTGCTTTTCACAGATCTTCAGATCATCCAGTGCTTTTAGACAAGGTGAAAGATCTACCTGTCACCTAGACTCTGCTATCATTTGTTCTGCTTGTGGCTAGGGATGGAAAGTCACAGTGGGCTGACGAGACATGGGAGGAATGGGGAGGCTTGTCCTGACTCCCACTCTGTGCACAGCTCTATCAGTGTTCCTTTTTTCATGTTTTTGATTAATTTTAATGAAAGTTTACAAAGACTTTGGATTTCCATTCATTCATTGTTACACTTTTCTCCCTGCCCAACCTTCCCCCTAGTTCACGCTTCTCTTTGAAAAGTAAAAGAAAAATTCTTTCATTGTTATGCAATCCCTCCCCCCAAGTCCACTCCACTATGCAGCCTTCTTTTTGAAAAGTAAAAGAAAAATTCTTTCATTGTTATACAATCCCTCCCCCCATGTGTGCTCCACTATGTCGCCTTCATTCTGGACTCCTATCATGACGTTAATACCCAATCATATATCCCTTTTTAAACAGTTCTCTCCCTCATCTGTTTCAATGCAGTATTTCATACATCAAATTCAAATAGTCTCTCTGAACTTCTGTGTCCTTAGTAGACTAAATACACTGAGAACACTGATTGTGTTTTAATTCCCTCTGAAAGGCCAGATGTAAGACTTAAAGCAGTGTCTGGTATATTGCAGAGCTAAGCAAGTGTGTGTTGAACCAAGAACTGATTGAGAAGCCACCCTGGTCTCTATGCCAGGGGATGAAAACACCAGTCAGCTGGAAAATCACCATCTGGTATAAAGGAGTGTACAGAGCAGTAAGGTTAACTATTACACTTAGCATGTTTTGCGAGTCCATTTTCTATTGGTTCCATTTGATTTTCATCTTTGTGAGGTGGAAATGATTATTATCCCCAGTTTACAGAGGGTCTGAGATATTCAGATACTTGTCTAAGATTGTATACTCTGTAAGTAGCAGTAGTTGGCTTAGAACAAATCCACAAGCATCTAATATTTGTGACCCAAGGACACAGCTCCTATCAAAGCTCTCATCTTAGCAGCATGCTATTGCAGATTCACATGAGTTCTTACAAACCAGAAACCAATATTACTTGTCTTTGATTCTGTAGCACCTAGGGATGGACATAGTGGCTGTCCAATAACTATTTGTTGATGAAATGCATACATGAATACCTGTAGGCTTCAACTTTAACAACTGCTCTACCTTGATTTTCCTAAGCATCAAACATGCCTCTGGAAGATCAGAGACTAAACTTTCCTGTATATTTGACCATCAAGCAATGCTTCACTTCCTAATATTTTTTACACGGATGGAGACACACATGGAGACAGCTTTACAGAAGTAGAGGAGAGGCATTTAGGCAGCCTATCATGCATGAATTGAAAAAGTTTGGGGTAAGGATTGATTATATAATCATTTCAGATCCTTTGTGACTTAATAAAGACCTCTGGGTAGTCTCCAAGGATTTGCATAGCCAAAAGGAATTTGCAAACCCTCTAGTTCATTTTTAGAGGTTGTCTATCATATGGAGGAAATGGTCCATCTATCCTCCACGCAATAGTAGATGGTGGGTTGAAACTGCTTGAGCGGTGCCCCCTTAGGCTTAGCAAGGCAACTCCTTGTAGACTAAGCCAGTAAATATGTAAAAACCTAAATAAACATAGACCTTGAACAATAATATTACAATCCTGAGGATTTGAGAAGAAACTGTAGTATTGCCAGTGGATGCCAGGAACAGACATTTCTTCATTTCATTCTGTTAGAATTCTGAGTAAAGAATAAGACAGAGAGGGCATCAGTGGGCCTCCGCTGAGTCCACGAACTCTGCTTCCTTCTGAGATGCCTCTCCAGGGCTAGGGCCCCAACAAACAAAGTATTGGACAAAGCCAGTATGCACCAGTTCAAGGTTGAGCATGGGATCCCTCACTATCTGGCTAAACTACCAGCCTTTTCAGCAAGGTGATTTGTATAGATAATTCTTGGATACGTACTAGGTGAACTTTTGGCTCTTTTTACAAACTCTTGCATTTATTCTTCTTGGTTTTATCTCTAGGCATAGCTGTATGTCCCCTGCTGCCACTATTTCTATCAATCAGTGACATTGTGATTCTCTCCAAGACAAGTCACTTAACCACTGCTACAAACTGCACAGCCAGGCTGGCTATAAAACATGACTATGGTGCTGAACCCACTCAGACTCCAGGTTTATTGTTGTCAGACCACAATAACCATTGAGACCTCAGCTGAGGTGAGGGAGAAACATTCATGTAGGTACTTCTACAACAGCCTCAAAATTTTGGAAGAGCACTGCACTTAAAAATAGGAGACATGTCTTCAATTCTTTTAAGTTTTTCCCCCACTAGTTTATGTACAAAATTCAAATATAAATTTGAACAAATTCTTTCCTAATCACAATGGAATTAAACTAGACATTATTAATAATATGAAATTACTAACAATATTAACACAAGAATCTCCAAACACTTATAAATTAAACATTATACTTTTAAATAATTCATGGATGAAAGAGGAGGTCTTGAGGGAAGTTGAAAAATATCTTTAAATGAATGAAAATGTAAATGCAACATATCAAAATTTATGGAATATAAACTAAAGATGTACTTTGAAGGAAATATATATATATCATTAAATGGTTATATTATAAAAAAAATGGAGATCTTTTAAAATAAATATGCGTGTGAGAAAAATAAGTCTGGACACTAGTAAACTAGTAGGAAAAGTGTGTTCTAAAGCAAATATATTGAACCCTAAAGTAATGGTCTGTACACTGATGTGTCAAATGTGTTAATGGCAGCTTATCCAATGCAGACAGAGTAAGTTGGAGCTCCCCGATTAAAACAAGCTTGGAAGGAGGAGTGGCATCCACTTCCATTATAGCTTGCCTCCGCAAACTCTATGAACCTGGAGAGAGGATGAAAGGCACCCAAGCGTCGGGGACTCTTCTTCATAGGGTCGCTATGAGTCGCCTGCGACTCGACGGCACTTAACAACAACAACAACAACAACAACAACAAAGTAATCGTGGGGAATGTATAAGACTGTGCGGCCCAATATTTCTGATGCTTCTTGATTTGGAGATTTTTCCCTTACCGTCCTGAGGTGTCTTCAAAAGCATATTCCCAGCCGTTGAGGGTGCGGCAGTATGGGCCCTGAACCAGGCCCAAAGCAGATATTACCAGGCAGTATCCAGAGAAAGCAATTCCAAGGGCAGAAAAGATAATTGACAGTATTGTCTAAATTAAATACAGAAGAAGGTTAATGTCATACAGAGGTGAAATTATGGATAAATGAACAGATAGGTACATGTAGTACTGACCCAAGACTGCTACCATCTACATGTACATCAAATTCCAAATAAAATTGGAGAAATGAATCCAAAGTCATCTGATTTTAAACATAATTTCTTAAATGACTTATTCTTTGGCGTCATGTGGCTGAAACTAGGTAATCTGCTAAATGTCTTCTTCTTCACCTGAGATTTTTTTTTTTATATTATCAAGATATGCTCAGTTAATAATGCTCACAAATTATGTAAGCATAGTGAAGGAATGTGACCAAGCAACCTTCAACTATTTATTGAAGACATGTCATTAGCTATGGGAAGGGGATTTCTATGTTTTATAAGGCAAAATCCCAATTTTTCTCTTGGGAACGTGAATCTGCTATCCCTTAACTTACTCCAACATAGGAAGAAATGTAAAACGCAATCTTAGATACTCATATTCATGGTCATGTTCATGTCTATGTTCTAATGAGGATGGCATTGATGGGGAAGAGGGTATTTTCATTTGAGGTGAGAAAGAACAATACTTAGAGACAGAGCTTTGAGACTGAGAGATGGCCTTGATCTGATAAGGAAGTTCATATAGACATGGAGAGAAGGAAAAGACTTAGGAAATAGAGTAAGAAGACATGAGACTTCCTTTGAAATAAGAAGAGAGTAGCTTGCAAGTAGTGGCAGATCTGGGGAGAGATGACCTTGACTGGGAAGTTAAGCAGACTGAACTTCAGCCTCTAGGGTAAGAAATTTCTCCTAAATTTCTATAAAATTTGTAAATATATTAAATAATTAAAAGTACACTACAGTGAATCCTTTTATCTAGACTCCCCTATTGTTATTATATTCAAACATTTGTTCTCTCTCTTTACAAACACATACACATCTATTTCTTTATACATTTTTGTTTCTGATCCACTTGGAAATAAGTTACATGCCGACTTCAAGATATTTTACTCTTAAGTAAGTCAGCAGTTGACCATTCTAAACGGTAGAGATTCTGGATAAATGTAAACATCTGGTAAAATGTAGAACAAACAAAAAATGTAAGGCTTTCTAATGCAGTGGAGACTGATGGAACCCTTGGCTTATGACCTTTAGTCACTCTTCACACCCGGGAAAAAATTCACCTACACAGCTGCACTTTAAGCCAAACAATAGATGAGCCTATTAGGCGATACTAGGGAGGTACTAGCTCCTTAGGATAACCAACCATATAAAACCAAAGGAGCAGCATTTGCCCAAGGAGACAGCACAGAAGGCAGGAAGGGGCAAAATTGATAGAAATCACAGCTCCGCCTCACTTGCTTTGGGCACATGGTCAGGAGAGATTGGTTCTTGTAAAAGGACATCATACTAGGAAGGATGGGTGGACAGTGCAGGAGAGGAAGTCCCCGGATGAGATGGATTGATATAATAACTGGGGCAATGGGGGTTGGTTTCTTGGAGTTAGTGAGACTGGCTCAGGACAGGGAAGGGTTCAGAGCTATACATAGGGTCGCTATACATTGTAGGTAGCTCAAAGGCACATAACAACAATAACATACTACGATAGGTTTGGAAGCAGTAGCTGCATTCACTTCCTAAACAACATGCATCTGGAAACTCTATGAACTTTGATAAATGTCAATAGTTGTAGAGGGGCTTCAGGCCTTTTCTTCATAGAGTCACTATAAGTCATGTTCGACTCGAATAGTTGTAGAGGGGCTTCAGGCCTTTTCTTCATAGGGTCACTATAAGTCATGTTCGACTCGAAGGCATTCAACAACAAAAACAATTGTAATTAACATCATAAAATAAAATATACATTAATGAATAAATGGAAAAACTAGTTTGCTCTATAAGCTTTCATGCAAACCACAATAAAATAAAACAAAATTTCCTGATCATTATCGTACATTTGCAAAGTAAAGAGTAATATATCAGGACTCGTCTTCTAAGAATAAAGACATTCTTTATACAGTTAAAGCACAATTTTCATACTAGAGAAATTTAATACTATTTCATTACAGTAAAGAATATCTACTACTTCATTTATATAGATCTTCCATGAAATGGATCAGTACAGTGATTACCACAATGGGCTTGAGTATGACGGAGATCATGAAGATGGCACACGATAGGGCAAGGCTCACATCTATTGCTTATAAGGCCACTATAAATCATAGCTGACTCAGCAGCTCCTATTAGCAACAACAATACACAATTTGGAATCTCTGGGTTAAACAAATGGTTAACAGGTGCTCAGTTACTAACCAAAAGTATAAAGGTTCAAATCCACCTAGAGGCACCTCAAAAGGAAGTCCTAGTGGTCTTCCACTCTGAAAAATTCGCCTTTAAAGAGTGAGACAGAGTTTGATTTTGACACATATGGAGTTTCTATGAGTCAGAATTGACTCAATCTATCTGGTTGATTTAATATATGATGTATGGCGACCAACTGTCACCAGTGGTGTTTTATAGTCTCTTTACTTTTTGGTATAAGATCTAGTGAATGTTTACACACAAATTTAAATCTCCTTAGTCTTTTAATCTAGTGTAGCCTGCTTGCCATTTTGCTTTTCATGATACTGATTTTCTCCTCCCTTTGTTTAGAACTCTGGCAAGTTGTCTTGCAGATTATTCTACATTCTGGTTTTTCTGATTATGTGAAATATTTTGGCAGGAATATCAGATTAGTGAAATGTTGCTCACTGATTAACATGGTGTTCTTCAGAACTTTCCTCTGTAAAAGCATGTTTTTCATTGAAGCAAGTAAGTAGTCTATGAGGTGAGACTTTAAATCTGTATCATTTCAGTACAAACCAAAAGGCTATACCTTTCTGATAATTTGAATCTTCAGGAGAAATATGGATAGTATCCCCCAGGGTTATATATAGCCTTGGAGATCCACTGGAGGGTCAACTATGAGTCAGTTCCCACTCAACAACAATGAGAATTTCCTTTTTTTCCTGTTTAGATGATCTTCAAATACACTTGGCAGCAGTGTGAGAGACCAGCAGCACAAAAGTGACTTGAGGCCTGAGCCATCATATCAGGGATTGGCTAGGGGGAGAAGGAAGGAAGGTGCTGGCCAAGTGACGTGGGGTGCAGAAGGGATGTTGATGGGACCAAAACACACAGACCAAAGTGGGGTAACCAACTCTGAATCTATTGGTTACTTTTGTAATGGGGAAGCATCTTTCAACAACTCTTTTGGGTGAAATGCTTGTCTGTCAGACTCTGTTCTAAAGCTGATATCAAATTAAAAAAGACTAGGGAGAAGGCCTTCCAAAGTGCTGTGAACAACAGAGCCCACTTATATTAGACTAGCAGATATAGAACCAGAGGCTGAGCCCTTGAAATGGAAAACACAAAGAAGGAACACTTGGAAGCAGACACTAGTTATTGGAACATGGAATGTGAGAAGCATGAACATAGGAAAACTAGACATTATTAAGAAAGAAATGGAACACATAAATATTGACCTGCCAGGCATTGGTGAAATGAGATGGATTGAAACGGGACATTTTAAATTAGACAATCATATGTTCTATTATGCTAGAAATGAAAGGTGAGGAAAAACAGGGTTGCATTCATAGTTGAAATGACAATTTCTAGATCCATCTTGAAATGAAATATTATGAGTGATAGAATACTATTCAATTCTTACAATGAAGAACTATTAATACCACTATCATTCAATTATATGAATCAACAACCAGAGCCAAAGAAGAGGAAATATAAAATTTCTACCAACTTTTGGACAATGACTAAGGATGACAGAAGAAGAATCGATGCCTTTGAGTTGTGGTGCTAGAGAAGAGTCTTGAACATACCATAGAACACCAAGAAAGCAAATAGGTCTGTTTTAGAAAGGGTGAAAGAAAGTTTCTCCTTGGAGGCTAGGGTTTTGAAGCTCCACCTCACATACTTTGGGCACATGGCCAGGAGGGATCAGTCCTTGGAAAAGGACATCATGCCCAGAAGGGTGGAAGGACAGCCCAGGAGAGGAAGACACCAGATGAGATGGACTGATACAGTAGCTGGAGTAATGGGGGTAGGTTAGACTGGATCAGGAGAGTATAGGCTTCAGAGCTGTTGTACAAAGGGTTGCCATGAGATGTAGGCAACTCAATGGCACACAACAACAACAACAGCAACAACCACCACCAACTCTTGTAGTTGGAAATAAATCAAAGGATCAGTCATCAGAATATATGGACTTGGTGAAAGAAATGAGACTGGAATGATAGAATTTTGTACAATCAATGACTTATTCATTTCAAATACCTTTTATAAGGAACACATATAGTGACTATCCTCTTGGAGCTCACCTGATGGTCTGCACAGTAATCGGACTGATTTTATCTGTCGAAAGAATCAATGAAGAAACTCAGTATCAGTTATGAAACATAGGTCAGGTTCTTATGGTGGAACAGACCATCAACTACTCATTTGAAAATTCAAAATAGAGTCAAAGAAACTGAAAGAAAATTTGCAAGAACCAAAATTTGATCTTGAGTTTATCCACCTGAATTAAAAAACCATCCCAAGAACAGTTGGAGGCCTTGAACCCTAATGAACAAAGGTCAGATGAACCATGGGAGAATATTAAGAATATTATCCAGGATGGATAATTATCCAGGATGAACTTCCTCAACATAGTGAAAAGTATAAATACAAAATCAAAAGCCAATATCATTCTCAACTGAGAAAGACTGAAAGCATTATCCTTGTGAATGGGAGCCAGACAACAATGTCTACTTCCACCAGTCCTATTCAATATTGTACTGGAAGTACTTGCTAAGGCGATACAACAGAAAAGGAAGTAAGAAGCATCCAGATTGCCAAAGAGGTGGTAAAATTGTCACCTTATGCAGATGATATTATAGTCTACACAGAAAACCCCAAGAACTCTAAAAAAATTCTGTTAGAGCTAGTGGACCAATTTAGCAGAGTGCCATGATATAACAA